GCCCTGGTAATTTAACACGTAAGTGAAAGAACAGAAAAGTAATATTTAATAGAGAATTCTATTGACAATAAATTGTGTGTACATTATTTTATGAATAAACTATATACTTACCCACTTGTAATTTAAATTTAACGCGTAAGTGAAAGAACAAAGAAGTAATATTTACATTATTTTATTAATAAACTATATACTTACTCACGTAAGTGAAAGAACAGAGAAGTAACATTTAATTGACAGCAACACGTGTACATTATTTTATGAATAACTATATACTTACAAACTGGTAATTTAACACGTAAGTAAAATTTTTAATCGAGAATTCTATTGGCGATAAAATGTGTGTATATACTACAGTATTATATACATTTTCTTCTAATTCTCGATTATATTATTTTCTTCTTCACTGTTTTCACCATCGTTTGTAGTATATATCAATTAATTTCTAGGATTTTTAGGAACAATAATATTATTATTAAAAAAAAAAACTTATAAATCGCAATTTTACCAGGAAAATGCAAAAATTGCCAGCTATCTTGGAGTCTCTCGATGGTGATACCAAAAAAGCTATTATGGAATGGGCGGATATGGTTCAAGAAAAACATAGTTCCGATAAGGATCTTGACAGCGATGATGATGAAAATTTAACTTATTTTGGGGATCATCTACTTATCTTTGAATGGGACGAAACAGCATTAGCAAGAAGAAATATTCAGAAAAATACAGTACTGACTTGTATGTATATTAATTGGTTCAATTTATATCAATTGAGGAGGTCTTTAATAATATTTTGTTCGACAGATATTCGAACAACATTTCCAGCTCATAATTTTCCTGGTCGTGGTCGACCTCTATCAGATTCCCTCTTTTACGTTGTTGATACGGCAGGTGTTCCGGCCGACCAAATAATTCAGGATATTTTGCATGGGCTTCGAAATTTATATTTACTAAGAAATGTGCCTTCGTTAGGAAGGGTCTATACTGTGCATGCGGAAAGAAAAAATACATTTGAAGCTGTTGAGATTTATGATGTTTTTGCCTATTAATTAGCGTAACAGTTAATTTTAATAAATTGCGATAGTCATATTTATAACACTATGCATAAATAAAATAAAAGGCTTACCACATCAAACATTATATGTATGATTTAGACCGCAATAAATTCACAGACTTTATAGAAATTGGCTTCAGAGGTTTAAAGTTTTTAAACGTGAGTGGAAAAGAGTAAATTTTTAGTTCATGATATGTAAAATTTCTATTTTTTCATTCGTCAATCTACCCTTGAATGATTACATCGTTTAAAGTCGAGTATATTAACAAACATAAAAAACTCTTAACTATGAGTAATAACTTTTATATACTATCAGCTATTATATAAAATTTAATAGCGTCTACATCTACTTTTTTTTTTTTAAAAAAAAAATAAAGATTTGTATTAAGACAATTTTGATATTGCACATAAATTTATTTGACTTGCGAGATTGTTAGATTAACTATATTCTTAATCGTATTATCAATCATTCTAAAAATATATTTACATACTGAAATTAGCTCTCTTTCTTCGTTAAATGATCATGCATTTTAGCGATCCATTAATGTTTTGTTGCTTTGTATAGATTCGAAATTTACTTGCAGATTTCATATAACTTTTTTCAAAATAAGGTGGAGTTTAAAAGATCCCAAATTAGAAATTAAATAGGCGTAGCCGGTGATAAAATTACGTAGCTTGTTTTGATAAACATTCACCGGTAAGCGGTTATGTAAACTTAAAAAAATAGAGCCACTTCGAATTATTAATTCTGAAACCCTCAATAAGCTTGTCAAAATTGACTATTATTTCCTTTTCTTTTATCTATAATATTAAGGGTAATGCATAATATTATACTGTAATTTTTTTGTCTCTTCACGTTCAGATTGTTATGTTATTTTTATAGTCCAAAGGAGAATTAAAAAGTATTTAAATTTTAATAAATGAATTATTTTAAGAATAATATTATCAAATGTACACTCATATTTTGAATTTATATAGTGTATTACTATTTCTAATTAATAATTATTTGCATTTCAATTCGTTGATTAAATTTCAATTCATCTCGCTACTATCGAAATAGTACTACTGACATTCAAACATTCAAACGTGGATTTTGAAAGTTGAACTACATCAGCATAAAATTCGGAAGATTTGAGTTACATGTTTTATATTAAGATTTGAAAAATATTCGTTAAGGTCGACAAATAAATCAGAACCTGAAATATTTACGAGAAAGTTTTTTAAAATAAAATGACGATAGCTAAAAAAAAAAAAAAAGCCTTTCCATGAAATAATTTATCTGAAGATTATCATTTTGAAATTTCTCTCGGATATTAACAATATTGATATGTACAGTAAAATGATACATATATTTTTTAACGATTTCGATACACAGATAATTAAAGTTTATGTCTTACGTAACTAATATTTAAAGAATATAAATTTGATTGAGACCTAAAGATTTTGATATAAAACTTGAAATTGGTAAAAACCAAATTTAAAAGAATTTAAAGCCCATTTTATTATCTTATCGGAAAGATCAGATTACTTTAAAGCTGCATTTCCATCAGAAAATAAGATGTAATTATTATATTTCTCTACTGTGTTTAAAGTTCTTATAAAGTAGACTTATATCAAAAATATCAGAAGTTTATCAAATAAAAATAAATAAATAAATATCAGATACCCGAAGTTTATTTTTTACCTGATATTCTTGATATTTTTTTGATATATGCCAATAGAGATCAGATTTTTGGCACAATAGTTAGCTATCGGGTATTGGATATTTATGCTTTGGGCTTTTGTATATCAATACGATTGAATGAAGATGCCATCGTTATGACATCATACAAAATGAAGAATAATATTTTTATTTTCACTGCGGGAAATATCTCTGGCTATATGAGGGGCCCTTTGGACCTCATATGACCAGAAATTTACCGCAGTTGCGAAAAATAAATACTTTTAATTTCATTTCTTATTTTATTGATTTTAGTCGGTGACTATAATAGTGGGTGTATTTAAAATAAGCCATTTTTTTATATTTATATTCTATTAGCCTGCAAGTATAGTCTAAAATATAACAAAAAATTTTGCTTCTTAAATTATTCTATCTCAGAAAGATTATAAATTATCTGTCATTTTCATTAAGTCAACTATTTAGGTTTAATTTAACTAGAAAGTATAAAATGATTTGTTTAATTAAAGCATATAAAACAATGTATTTTACTTCTTATTAGTTTTATTAGTTTATTATCCATGCTGATTTGTCGTTAAACAATCTCAAGTCGATCCATTATAAATCGAATAGTTGAAATAATTTATGTATCTATTACAGTATTAATTCTTATCTATGATGATATATGATTCTTATAGCTTGATTTTCTGAAAACTTATATGCAAAAATATTGATTATAAATTTTAGTGTTATCTGAACTCAAAGTTCTATGGAGCCCTACTTACACTTATACTGTATATTATAATCGTGCTCATAATCTAAACCCAGGCGCTACGGTATTTTATACTAACAATATAAGGACTGATGGCTTTTTTGGCCTGTTCTATATAAGTAAATAACTCGCAAATATTTATTATTTATTCGTGAAAACTTTTCGCCTAAATGAATGAAGTCAAAACGAAAGTCTAAGTGACGTTATTAAGCATTATAAACTCACCGGCGATCAATTCGACTATCAATTTTTCTGGAGACAATACTATGAATTGTCCAACGCGAACTCCCAATGAAGTTCATAAACTTTCGAACTGAACTTGAACCTGAACTGAACACATGTTAAAAGTTCATTATCAAACTTGAATTTGAACCATTTTTTGTTTATAGTTCGGTTCAGTTCAAAATTTTGAACTTGCCCTAAATGTGGTTTGGTCTCAGGTTTATAGGAGCGCTGCTGGTAATACGTATTGGTAAAACTGTGATATTAGTAAAACTGGTAATATTACTAATATCACCAATATCACCGGTTTCACCAATACTACCAATTTACTTATTTCTCACTGTGATACAAATCACACGAAATTATAAATATTCTATTTTTTGTAAATTTGCCTTAACTTTAAAGTTAGGAAGAGTAGATTCTATGCAAGGAATTTTTTGTTAGAACTCAAGAGGCGGTTTTTTAGACAAAATTTTGAGTTATTAGCGATTTTTTGAAAAATACCGATGCTACACTTAATCTTACGGTTTACATACAAATTTTTGATTTGTATCACGGTGGGAAATAAGAGTACGCCTGCAACTCTAGTACATAATTTATTTTTAATTACCGCGCATTAAATGGCTATACGAAAGTTTTAGCAGCCATGATAGTCAGTGATGTAATTGGTTTATTCAATGGAAAACGATATTTGTATTCGTCCAATGGGAAGTTGGTGAAAATTTAATAAACCCAATCCAACTTTAATTCATTCAAGTGACGAAAAGTTAACAGATCGAAAAGATGGAACTCCGGTCTGCTAATTGTACAGACTAAGATATTAGCCGAAATCGGTATTTCGGTTTTGACCGAATTGGGAAGACAATGAGCTAACGGGTGCGTAAGAGCATATGAATTCAGATGAGAAAATTTTAATCGGTTGCCTGTTTTGGGAACTCTATGAATAGCGTGCAAACATAATAACATTAATCTCATCGACAGATCTAATATAAAATAGCCGATACAGAAGGTAATGATAGCATCACGCAAATACGAAGCGAGATTCGCGCCAAAACCCTCCCACCCAGGCAGAATCCTGCCGTTTGTGGTATTTTCAAAAGCTTCATATCAAAATCGGCCTGCAATATTTAACAACCTCCAAGAAAGTTCCCTATTCTTGTGCCTCTTTGTCAGCCGTCACCGGTGCAGAATCGCAGTACTAATCCTTTGGACGACAGCAGATAACTACTTATGTGATGAAAAACTCCAAACCAATGAAATATTATGGCTGAACAAGTAAAGACCTCAAATACTTAAAGATCGATGGTGAAATTCACGATCATATTACCGAAAATCTCCAAAATCAACGTAATAGCATTGGCAGATGCACTTGGTCGGAACATTGCTCTGGCTTGTCTAAATCTTTCCCGAAACAATGTTGGGCCTAGTGATGTGCCATTTATATGATACCTGAAAAATTTTAGCGTACAGTACGTACAGTACTGTACGTATAGGCACATCACTAGTTGGGCCAAAAGGTGGAGAAGAAATAAGATATTTATTTTTTTTGATGGATATGTGAATATAATACTTTATGCTCATTCTCAATTGAAGTTGATATATACTTGAGAATTTAATTGTTTTTTTCGTTCTCAAAATATTTTAGTCCCGCAGAAAAGCAGCGGCACTTTAGAATATTCAGATATTCATAATAACAATCTTGGTCCCGAAGGTGGATTAGCATTTGCATAATCACTTTCGAAAAATGCTCCCTAATTTCATTATATATTGATGACTGGTACAGAAGCAGCAAGTTATTTAGAAGAAATTATTCTATAAATTTTACTCTTGTTTTCATTAAATTTGTTTCATTCAAATTGTTAAAAAAAATGTAATGCTTTTAAATGATAATTAGCAAATTTTCAAAAATTGTCTTTGAGTTTCTCAAGCATCAACTTTGATGCGATTTCATAGTGATTAAATGGTGCACAAGTAATTTTAGCTATTCTCATAACATTTTGAATAAAAGTCAATAAATACAAATGATGATATTTATTAAGATATACTCAAACATTAATATTCCTGTAATTTTCTAATAATTGTTGTCTTTAAATAAAGATCTCAAGTCACTACATGAGAGGACTTTAAAAAGTTTTTACAAAAAATGTGTGCCGAAAAAGAAAATTCACAATACTAAAATGTTAAACTCCTGATCATTTTTTACTTTTAAAATTATTTCTTCGTGTAGTAAACTACTTTACTATGACAAGCTCGATTGATCGATTAAAAATCCGTCAATTAAAATTTAATTCCCGACATACCGTATTTTCGCGTAATAACGCTCATGAGCGTTATTTCGAATAATGGCCCGAATTAAGCTTAATTTTGGCCAAAAATTGAAATTACTCCCCTACGCATTATTACGCGAAAATACGGTACTTTGACTAGAGTTGCCTGCCGTAATAGGTTTTACAGGGTTGAAAGGTTGCAACCTTTTATTTCAACGTTGTAATTTTTTGCCGTAATTGTTTAAAAAGTTGGAACTTTTAACTTGTTGTAATTGGTATAATAGCTGTAATCGTTAAAATAGTTGTAATAGGTGTAATGGTTGTAAACTATGATGAATGTAACGGATTAGTTTATTCCAAATCTGGTAGTCATCCTAGATATACGTAACAATAAATTATTATTATCAGTTTACAGGTTATAGACTTCAGCCAACCGGTATGAATGAAAAAAATTTTAGACTTATAATATTGAATTGAAGATAAATTTGGTAAGTTACAAATTTAGCAGAACATACGATATATTTGAATTGAACATAGATAAACACATGCGTATGATATTTTAACTTGTTTAAATCCAATTTTCCAATAATGATAATGCCCACATGCATTACTTAGTAAGTATATAAAGTCCCTGCTTGTGGATTTGCAAGAACTAAATTCATATTTGAAAATGCCAATATTAGCCATAAACCGGGTTTAGTTCAGAACAGTAAATTAGAGATATAACAGCGCCAATGATAAATAAACATTCTCTGCATAATTGATTTAGCTCACGTACAAGTGACAACAACGTTCTTGCCATGGCGATAAGATGATTAATTATACGTATACCAAAGAAAAGCAAAAAATAACTATATATTTAAATGATAATAAAATATGCATATTTGATATGTATAGCATTAAGAAACTAGACTAAATAAATAAATAAATAAATAAAAAAAAAAAAAAATACTATCACGTGTGATCAAATAGCGATAGTAAATTATAAAGATTTTCTTAACTTTAGATGAGTCAGTTTGCAATAAGAAAACTAAAGTTGGCAAAAAAATGATGCTACGCTATAAATGTTTTATTTTTAGCCTATAACTATTAATTCATATAAAATTCTCAGTTTTCAGTTACCAATCTACAAAGTAGTATTTGTTGCGTTTAGTAAAAAGTAAATCGACCTAATATGATGTAAGAAATAAAATATATATTCAAATTAGTATCTATATTTACGCTATAAATATCTTTTAATTTAAAATAAATTTCACTCAATCGCCAAGAGAGTTAAAAAATTTTTGCTTGTCAAACTTACATTATAAAATCCAAGGCAACTTTAACAAATATTCTACAAAGTAAAGATTAAAATTATGAAATGTGAAGAAAAAATGAAATTTATATAATTTTTATTTTACCTATATTTATTGTGAATTATAATGATCCGATTCATAATCCAATTGTCTAGCAATGATGTCATCTACATTATATTCACTTTCTCTATCTTCTTGTATATCGTTATTATCAGACTCATTTATGTCAAGGTCTTCATAGCTAGTTCTAGAATGTGCTGTAAAAACCGAAGATTGAAGATCGATAAGATTTGAAATTTTTAAATTTTAAATTTGGCTCATTCGGATAAAGATCTTCACTAGGATTCGACAATTCAATGTCTTCTTCTTCCAATACTGTTTCCTCCTCTAACTCTTTAAAGACACTTTCTGCAATATTTGCCATTATTTCAGGACTTACTTCTGTAGTATGAATATGGCAAAGTTGCTCTGTGGGATTTGATAAATTAAATCGATAAATTTTTGCTAATCCTTCTAGTCGATCTACTTCTAATTGAGTTCGTTTGTTTCCATAAATCCACCCTAATAAAGAAAACATTCACTCACAAATAGCTGAACTTGGTGTAATGGAAAAAAGTTTAATTGCTAAACGTTGTAAATAGTTAGGCTTAATTTCACAAGTATTCCACCACATTAATGGTGTATCACTACCAATTCTATAAGAAGCAGCATAGAGATTAGGGTTTCCATTTATATATTGATCTTGTTCTTTATAAAAGCGTAAATGTGTTATTAAAATTTCACAACTTTCTTTTGATTTACCCATTTGTTGCCATAATTTTCCAGCATAACTTGCGATTAAAGAAAATGTGCCAAATTTTAATCCAATACCTTTATAAGCCGGATGCAGAAAATATGTAAGATGGTAAATTGGATCATTAAATTCTTCAAATCGATCATCAAATTTTTTGATACAATAATTGCGAAATCCCTTATATTCATCAGGAGGAAGATTTTGAATTGCAGCTGCAATTTTCATCAAATTAATATAGCAGTCAGCAAGTGTAGAATAATTTGATTCAACCGCTAAAATTGCATTTCTTATTGGAAGTAAAACTTCTGAAAGATATTGCATATCAGTAAAAAAATCTCGACCACGAAGAATTGTTAAAATTACAGGACTTATAATTTCAGAATGATTTTCTTGAATTTCTTCTAAACAGGCTTTAAGTCGCACAATTGAAAAAATACATTCATATACACTTGTCCATCTTGTCTCGATATATGTCTTAAGACCACCACCATTAACTTGATTTTGCATAATTATTTGACTTAAAAGAGCTGCAGCTTTATGTGATTTTTTAAAGAACTTTACAATTTTGCTAGCACGTTGAATCATTCTTTCTGCAAAAGTATGCTTAATAATATCTTTACTAATTAAATTGAAACAGTGAGCAATGCATCAAATACTTATAATATTTTTATATTTTGAACAAATTATACATTGTGCAGCTGCTATATTGGCTCCATTATCACTAATAATTGCTGAAATTTTATCATTACCAATACGATTTATAATTGTTTCAATTTGACTAGCTAAAAATTCTGCTGTATGAGATTGGTTAGAATAATCTCCAAGTTCATAAAGATATTCTTGTCTTGATGGTGTCATAATAACAAAATTCCAAATAGATAACCCATTCGGAGCAGTCCAGCCATTAATACCAATAGTAAGATTATTAGTATGATCCAAAATTTTATTAACTTTATTAATAATTTTTGCAATTTCAGTATCTAATAAACGTCCAGAAAGAACTTCACGTGATGGAGCTTCATAACCAGCATTAAGAAGTTTTAGAGCATTTATAAAAAAAGGATTGCTAATTACACGAAAAGGAATACCACACATAATAAAAGCTAATACTATAGCTTCATCAATCATTAATTGCTTAGATGGTTCGATTTTTGCAGAGTCATACCAATTAGTTATATCAGGTTGTTTGGCTATTTTTTTTCGCTTAACTAAAGGTGATACAGTATTTGACATGCTATAAAGAGGTTCATCGGTTGGGATATCTTTTAAATTATTAACTAAAATATAATTAAAATGACATCGCCACTCTTCAGAAACCTTTTTACAGTGATTAGCTAGATGTGCACGCAATGTATATAGTTTTGCACGTGGATAAAATTTTTTACAGAATGAGCAGCTACCTTCCCAATGACCATCACCTCTTGATGTACCTTTTTCAAAGAATTTCCAAACACCTGTTGGTGGGCGTCCTGCTCTTGCATTACTAGAGTTTCTAGAATCTGTTTCTGTATCACATGAAACTGATTCATTTTGTTTTTGTTTTCGTTTAGACATTTGAAAAAATTATGATATTTTAATAAGACAAAATATCAAAAATGATGATTTTTATATGATCAAAATATTCAAAATTTGAATACTCGTTTATTACTAGTTAAGATAAGTGTTTTTTATTGTTATTTAATTATTACTATACTACTTTTTAGTTCTTGTTTTTAATTCAAGTTGACGTAAATCAATAGATTGAAAAGATGGCTAAACAGGGATAGGCCGGGAGCAATCCAGTCTATCCATCAATCCTAATTGAGAATTCAATCAAGCAGCATGAGAGAAACATGAAGCCAGATAAGTAAAAGGAGTTAATTGACTGCCTAATCGAGAATTATTAACAATATTTCATTGTTAAAGTATATATAAGAAAATACTGCTGTAAAGAAATTAGCAGCCATCTCTGCCCGAAGCAAGATTCACACCTGAGCCCTCCCACCCACATTAATACATGTAGAATGCCATTTTGTGGTAGCTTAAACTTCTCGTCAAAGTCAGCCTGTCTTGTGCAGGTAAGAAAACCACCAACTGATGCTATGCATCGCAAATTCAACCTATGGCAGTGATACCCGGCGGCAAATATGCTATTTTCTGGGAGCATATCCTGTCTTGGTTTATACATCAATTGAACTGATGTATGCTGCTTATTTCAATAAAGATTATGCAATAAAGTTTAATATCTGGCACTAATGGCCAGATGCATTCAATTAAAAATTATCACATGCATGCAATACTATCAAGCCGTTTATATGAACTGAGTTAACAATCATAATACTAAATTGGGTATAAATTTTAAAAATTTTAAATACGTATTTAGGTTTTACTTTAATAATTAAATGCATTTATAATATTATACGTAGCGCATACATTAATTATCAAAGAATAAAAAGAATTTTAATAAAACTTGTTTATAAAAGTAAAATTCATATTTTTATCCAAGATTAAACCAGAATTTGAGAAGCTCGTTAACAAATCAACAAGATAACTTTACAAGAGATCACATATTCAAATTATTATTTAGCTTTTATAGATTGTCTTGTTGTCAATAGTTTTTATGATATATGCAAGTAATTTTACTAATTGTAACAATCTCAGTATTTTTGTACTTTCTAAGATTTCCTTTGCAAATCACAGTCTTATATTTGTATGGTGTATTATTAAAGCTCAAATTACATAATATATCAAGATATGTAAGCAATTTAAATTATACATTTTTATAGGCTAGAGTCAAAAAAAACGTTATTTCAGATATTTATAGTTCTGTTTTTGTAACGTAAATCACGTTTATATGAATCAAGATGTATATCTTTATTTGTACTTTTTCTTCTATTAATTTAGCAATTCGAAATAAAGCAATAAAACTATAAAATCTTCTTGATCGGCTGCTAATACTTAGTAAACCTGTAATAGAAGAAGAGATAGCAATCATAATATTTTAATCTTAAAATCAATAATGCAGAAAGATGAAAACTAGTTCTATCATTTCCTATTACCCAATGATTTAATAGCTAAAAGTAGTGCACTAGCACTTTTTAATAGTGTAACGGACCTGGAGCTACAAAGCAAGGATCTTATAAGGCTTCATGGCTGTGACAGTAGAACAAGAATCATTTTAGATAAGTAGTACTTACATATCACTACATGACTATATAACTAATTTCAAGTATAGCTATGTTAAATTCTTCTTTACTATTGTTCTCTTACTGTTTACGTTTAAAATATAACAGGTAATAAACTGGTTATATGTTAGATATTGGTTAGTTCGAAGTTCCTTAAGGCTTTGTAAAAAGAATAGCGAGTAGATTTTTTCACGATCTTTAGCTTTGGATAAATAAAGTTATCCGATTGTGTGATAATAAATGATTTTTTTTTTTTTTGTGTGTGTATATCTTACACAAAAAAAAAACTGTTATTTTCCCACATAATAAAGCTACATTTTAAGATCAAAAAATCTTAGAATCTATCGCTTTGTACGTACTAAAATTGAAAGATACGTATTACTAATTGTAACTTGTATTTATATCTGAATAAAACAGGTAGCACTGAAGCCAAATTTATCAATATGGCTTTATCCAATAAAACAGTATCTATCGCTATACAAAAGAATTAAAAACTAAAAATGATAATTAAGTAATTATTACATTTATGGATATTGCGGTATTTACAACCTATTGCGGAAATTACAACTATAACAACTATTATAATAAATACAGCATTTATTGCAAATATGACATATTACAACTCTGGGTTCTGGTTGTTATTAAGAGTTGCAACCCAGGTTGTAATCCGAAATGTCCGTAATAATTACTTACGGCCAGCAACACTAACTTTGACCTATTAATTGTGGCGCTTGAGAATGCCCTTTATTGGTTAAATATAGAATTTTATTGCGTAAAAAAGGAAAAAAAGTCAAAATTATTCGGTGAACTTATTATCTAACTTTACATGCTATAATATGAAATTTTGAGTTCATTACAAATATAAAGAAATTTGGTTTGTTTATGTCAGATTTTTGGAAAGTTTTTTGCCTGGATTAGATTTGTTATGCCGTCTACCATTTCTTTTGCTACAGAAATTATGAAATTTTTCAAGAAGATCAACGCTTATACCAGAATAGTATTTATATAAGATACTTCCATTTACAGTATCATGCTGTATAAATAATTCATTAAAAATAATAAATTAGCTATATTTCATAGAGAATTTTTTTATACTATTCAATAGTCTCCAGTCAGTTTCATCTTCATTTGATTTATCGTCTTCTGCAATATTATAATTTCAAAAAAATTGCTAAATTAATTCTTATGGAAAAATTGTGCATTATCAAGCAATATACGAATTTCTCAGATATTGCTTTCAAGCATTTACAAGACTTTGGAGTTCAAGACCCTTTAACAGTTTTAAAGACCTTTCGTTAGTTTAACACCTCTCGTAATTTCAACCAATATCACCATTATTAGGATCCTCTACCCGTGTAGGACTTTCTAAGATCTTTCACAGATATTCTGATGAATAATTACAAAAAAAAAGAAAGTCTTGAAAGCAGAACTAAACCAGTTCTTAATATTTACTTAGTAATATTAATTTAACCCCGATCCCGATTAATTACTTTTTGGCATATCACGTGGACACGTGACCTGCATCTTGAGCTAATTCGGATCTGCTCCCAAACAATCTTAACACCGTCTCTGATGGTGGTAATGTTGGTAATCTTTTTTGTAAATAATATTATTTTGATATTATTATTATTATTATTATTATTATACGTGTACTAACGTAAGAATTCAAATATAAAAATGTTAGATTTGTTCTAAAAAAAAATAAAAGGCATAAAGTTATATTAACGTTCAATATGTACCTGAAAATTGAAAAATAGAATTTGTAAATTTAAGAATATATATTTCAATTGGTATAAGTTTTACTTTTTCGTTCATCTATAAAGAAACAATTTCATACTAAATGTATTTTATAAAGAATTAATTAATGAGTTTAGGTTTACTGTAGTATCAAATTTATGAGCTTAAATAATTTGACAAGGAATTTAGTTTTACTTTTGTACTTATTTTTTGAGAGTGTAAATATGATAATAAAGATTTTTATTTATTTTATTTTATTTTATTTATTTATTTATTTTATTTTATTTATTTAAAAATTTTATTTCTTTTGATTCACATTAACTTGTTACGGAATTGACATTAGCAAAGATATGATTCATGTCACCTATATAATCAAACTTTCCGAAAATTTTTATAGATTTTAATCACGTGTCTCTATTATTGGATATCACGCGAAATTTGAGAAACCACTTAATTTTAACCTTTAATATTTCATCAAGTAACAACCGATTGAAAAAAGTAAACCGTTAATCTGTAGAGAAGAGAAGTTTTAGATTTACTATTTTTACGGTTTATATTTTTGATTCCACTTAAATTAAAAGACAAGATGTTATTGAAATTATGACTTTCTTTCTTTTTTTTTTTTGATGACTATAAGTGATGTAAAATTGCATCAAAATTACCAAAGACGACGCACGTATGAGTAATATGTTATCACCGAATCTTTTTACATAATAAGTATGTGTAAAAACTATGGTATTATATTTCACAGTGAATTTAAACGATGACAAATATACACAAATAATATAAAACACTTCTAAAAAAAAAAAAAATTCCACATGTAAAATTTTGTATAAACCATTTCTAACTTTAAAATTATATTCTAATATCAATCACGAGCAACATGATATGCCTGCCCTATTTTTGTTTGGACATATAGTAATGATGAGTACGCAGCGTATATCTTTATTACCATCATTCAAGTTTAATTGAATTGTCTTCTGGATTTTTCTCTAATTTACAACTTTTACATTCGTACTAGTCTGGCGAAAAAAAATATATAATACTTTGTGTTATTGTGAATTTATATATGAATTTGTATTGTAAAGCCGTTTGAAGTTGAAACTTCATTTAACGTCATTCCTGGGCTTCCTCCAAAAAATCAAACAAATAAGAAATGAAAGTTTGATCGATATGATAGCCAGCATAACAGCTGGGATTTTTCAGCTTCGTCCTGGATTTCTCGGCACACTGTTTAATTTAATTTTCACCCACCCCTTGTAAATACGAAAAAAATAATGTTAAACGAAGTTTCAAATGCAAGTGGCCTAAATAGCTGCTGTTTTGTTAACATGTTTTAACACAAACAAGAGAGTAAAGTTAATACCCAATAAAAAAGAAATAACTTCCAATTGGATTATATAAAAAGCACGCGGCTGGTGAGATCTGCATGTGATTATCAGAAAGGAAATAGTTGGTGAAACCAAATTAGGAATTTTATTACTCGCTAAGAAAGTTAATCAATTACATCTCAGATCTATATCGCATTACGTACAAGAGTTAGTAATCAAAATTTTCAGCTCTTTAGTATTTTATAAATTTGTCAAAGCTGATTATGCAAGTTTTATAACAATAATTTATTACTACTATATTATATACACTTGCTTCTATTTCACTCTTATATTATTGTCTTTTTTCTCTGTTTTTACCATTGTTTGTAGTTTGCTTGTCTTTGGAATCTCTATCTGGATTATATATCAATTAATTTCTAGGATTTTAGGTATTATTATTATTATTATTATTATTAAAAAAAAAAGAAAAAACTTATAAATCGCAATTTTACCAGGAAAATGCCAAAATTGCCAGCTATCTTGGAATCTCTCGATGATGATACCAAAAATATATTATAGAATGGGTGGATATTGTTCGAGAAAAACATATTTCAGATAAGGATTTTGACAGCGACGATGATGATAGCGATGATGATGATAGCGATGATGATGATAATGTAACCTATTATGGAGACCCTCTTCTCATAATCGAATGGAATGAAGCAGAATTAGCTCAACAAAATGTTCAAAAAAATACAGTACTGACTTGTATATATATTAATTAGTTCAATTTTTATCAATTAAGGAGGTCTTTAATATTGCATAATAATATTTTGTTCGACAGATATTCGCACATTTCCTGGATGCAATGATTTTCCAGGTGGTGGTCAACCTCAATCAAGCTCCCTTTTTTATATTGTTGGTACACGAGGTGTTTTGGGTGTTCCGGCTCAACAAACAATGTTTAATATTATACATGGGCTTCAAAGAATATATGCACTAAGAGATGTACCTTCTTTAGGAAGGGTCTATACTGTGGCTGCAGAAAAAAAAATATACATTTGATGCTGCAGAGATTTATGGTGTTTTTGCCTTGTAATTAGCATATCAGTTTTAATTTTAATAAATATTACATGCATAAAATGCTAATTGTGATAATAACATTAATGGTTGTAGTGTCACATTTATAACACTGTGCATAAATAAATGGTGTAAACAAAGTTTACCAACAACAAACATTACGTGTTTAATTTACCATAATAAATTTACAGACTTTATAGAAACTGGCTTTAGAAGTTTAAAGTTTTTAAGCGTGAGTGGAAAAGAGTAAATTTTTAGTTCATTATATGTAAAATTTCTATTTCTTCATTCATCAATCTACCTTGAGTAGTGTTGGTGGTAGAATTACTGAATTACGGCATTCTACCATATGGTAGAATTAATTACGGCACAGCACCCAATTGCCGTAAATATTATGTGCCATAATGCTGCAATGCCATAATGCTGTAATGCCGCAATGCCGCAATGCCATAATGCCGTAATGCCATAATATCATAATACTATAGACATTTGCATGGCAATAATGCGATACTGTAATACTATAGCTAGGGATGGGTCTATAGTCGACTATAGTCGACTATTAGTTGTAGTCGATATTTAGCCGACTGACGGCTTAGATGACTGGCTAAATTTGTAGTTGGTGCCAGATTTTTAATTTTCTGGCTAATAAAAGTGATAATTAATACTAAATTTGATATGAGACTATGTCAGCAGATCTACACCATTTGAAAATAGAGGAACCCTTTATTTATAATTCTGGTCAAATTTGCAGATCATTTGACCAGATCTA